TGAGGTCAGAAAGAAAGTGGTTCTGTGCTCCTACTGGCATTCACATTTCTGTCCTTTTTCCTGCGGGAGCTCACTGTGGTGCAAACTTTTTGTCTAGTTTCAACTACATAGTTTCCATGAGGGCACTATGAAATTATTTGGTGCACTAGATGAGATATACTACATTCTGGGTGCATCTACACATGCTATTAATGTGCCTGAATAAACTCCAGTGCAGTTTACGCTGGAGTTAGCTGCTTCTCGGGCACAGTGCCTTCATGTGCATCTGGGACTGCAGTAATTTAAACTGGAGTGGAGCAGCCCTGAGCTGGCAGAGGGCCTGGGGGGGTCAGCCTTGGGCTCCAGGTAGCAGCATCGGGTGGTGTTGGGGCTGGCTGGGGCACAGGGATGCTACACTGTGGGACTAGATGGCAGGCAGCTCCCACACTGTACCCTCATGCCCCAGCAAGCCCCATCACAGTTTACATGTGCGTTTGAGCACGCATAATTACTCCGCTGTAGGATAGTATTTGTGCTGGACAGTACTATCCTAGAGTGAAGTTAATTAATTTGCTGTGCCATAATAAGGGCAGATGTGTAGATGGTGACACTTTACTGCAGAGCAAATTAGTCACCTCTGCAGTAAAGCACCCACTATGATATACATCAGGACTGCCCAAATTGTATCCTCTGAGGTGTTAATTTGCAGCCTAAGTCACTGCTCCACCTATTTCTCCAGCTGATATTGCTGCCAGGGTCTCTGAGCTCCCCCTTCCTCCTCTGCTTCCTCTACAACATTCCTCTACAATGTAGTGTTGTGGGTGGGGTATGGAGGGATGGTGCAGCCCATAGGCAGAGGGAGCCTGGCGGGGGTCCAAGGTCCCTGGAAGGGAGGGGGGAATAGCAGGCAGCCCCCCAGCAGCCTAAAAGTTAGAGAGGCATGATATGCATTATGCACCTCTACATAATTGCTATCATAGTGGTTGTGATGTCAGATGCCAAACACAGTTATATCTGATGAATAGAGATGCTCACATCCGACGTGCTGTACTAAGTATTATCATTTGCAGTCTATGATGAGTGCACTCTCATAGTAGCTAGGGTTAGTATCATAGTAGCTAGGGTCAGAAGGGACCTGAACAGATCATCTAGCCTGACCCCCTCATCTAGCCTGACCCCCTCAATAGGAAACAACACTCCAGGATATATATATATTTTTTGTCTGGGACTGAATTTCTAGATGTGGGTTCTGGATAAGACAAAAAAAGAGTGGTCCTGACCATAGGTTATCTGTTCTGGAATTCCTGGAATGTCAACTGGATCTTTATTTTACCTCCTTTTTTAATGCAAACTGTGTACAAGGTTCCTAGCACAGAAAGACACTAAGTTTTAGCCCAAAAGTTGCCACAACTCAGTGGTTGATGAATGAACCACTTCTGGATGAAAAGTGCACTAAAATCTAAGTTATTTACTATTCAATATTAATTAACTGGCCACTATTATTCATTATTAAAAGCATAGACCAGGGATTGGGGGTACTTGAGAAGGCCCTAGGGGGTACGCACGGCAGGCAGGGATGGAGTGCCACCCATACGCTGGGTGTGACCCCATGTGTCAGGTCCAACTTCGTACACCAGGTTCAACCCTATGTGCAGAGATTATACACCCAGGTCCCAGCCAGAATGGCACGGGGACCGTGTTATCTGGTCAAGAGGCTGCTCTCCATGGCTAGGGACAGACATTAAAAAAGCCAGAGATTGAACTGATTCAACCTTTGCAGGTTAGTCTAACCTGCCTAGGCTGAACCAGTTTGTAACTGGACAAACATGCTCTCTGGACTGAGACAATGTGGGCACAAGCCTGCAGCTGCTCAAACCAGGAACCAGGGAGTGCTAAAGTCAGCCCTTGCCTGCAGGGAAGCTGTGCTGCAGTGGGAGGGGCAGAGCCCTTACTGGGGGTGGCAGCCCTTGCCACACTGTGGGGGAGCGCGAGTCCCTTTGTAGCAAGGGGCTGTGCTGTGGGCTTGGGTTTTGCACGGCAGCACTGGGGGCTGGGGCCAGAGCCCTTGCAAGCCCCCACAGTGCTGCTGTGCTCCACAGCTGCTCTGCCAGCCCCGCAGTGTAGCCCCACCGGGAAGCTGTGACAGGCCCCTGCCCATCGGACACTCGCTGCTCGCCACTCCAGCTGCCGGGTGGGGGCAGGGCCGAACCCTGCAGCTCATTCTGTGCCAGGACAAGCCAATGAGGGGGCTTATTCAACCCCCATTATTGCCCCTGAGCTTCAGCTATGGCCCCGCCCAGCAGACCCCACAGCCAGCAGCTGAATAAGCCCCTTCCTGTTGGGAGGGGGCTTGCCCCAAGCACAGAGGGGCCTCTCCACTGCAGCAGGGTCTGCCCAGCTGGGTCTGCCTGGCCCGGCTGTTGCTGCTCGGTGCTTGGAGACAGCAGCTAAATAAGCCCCCTCTTGTCAGCAGGGAGCTGTTTCTGAGCAAAGGGCAGCGTCAGCCATGCCGGGCGACCCCGCTGGGCAGACCTGGCTGTGGTGCGAGTGGAGTCTCTGTGCTTGGAGCAAGCCCCCTCCCAGCAGGAAGGGGCTTACTCAGCTGCTGGCTGCAGGGTCTGCCGGGCCGGGCAGCAGCTGAAGCTTGGGGAGGGAATAATGGCAGCTGAGTAAGCCCCCTCAGTGGTCTGCCCCAGCACAGAATGGGTGGCGGGAGCCAGCCCCGCCGCCACCCAGCAGCTGGACAGCGAGCGGCGAGTGCCCAACGGGTAGGAGCCTGTCATGGCTTCCCAGTGTGGCTGTGCTGTGGGGCCGGCAGAGCGGCTGTGAGGGCTTCCAAGGCTCTGGACCCCTCCATACCCCAGTACTGCCGTACACAGCCTGAGCCCACAGCGCAACCCCTCATGGGGAAGGGGTTCATACTCTCCCACAGTGTGACAGGGGCTGCTGCCCCCAGTAAGGGCTCTTCCCCTCCCACTGCAGCGGCGGGGAGGGGGTACAGTCAGGCAGGGCCCCTGGTGGGGGTAGGGACAGGGTTATTCCTTCGGTGGAGGGGACAGCCAGGGGCCCATTCCGGGCAGGGAGCCACCCCGCTGCCAGTGGGGTAGAGGAGGAAAAACTAAATCTGCTCCCTGCCCCCCATTGCCTCGGGGCCATGGGGCCCGCTGCTGCAGCAGCGAGGGGGGAGTGTGGGCAGACCCAGCTCGGGTCCCTGCCAGTGGGATAGAGAGAATTAAACTCCTCTCTGGCCAGACCCCTGCCCCTGCCTGTCCCTGCTTGGGCAGGGGAGCAGAGGGGTG